CGAATAATCTGTACAAGAATTGTCGATCGGTAATTCGAATTAGATTAATGCGATAATCGTTTCAAAATCTATGAAGAAGAAGTATCCTTCGTTATGAAAAGTAAATTTTCCAAGTATTGAAATTTTTAATATTTCTTTTTTAATGAAAGTAAATGAAAAGGAAAAATGTTTTCTTTCTTTTTTTCTTTTTACAATTAAAACAAAAAAAAAGGAAAGAGAAGCAAAAAGAAGAAGAAATTACATAAGACGATTATCTTCTTATATACGAATAAGATTATTTTTATAACTGTTACATTGTATTGAACATTTTAATTTTTTCCCCACAGCTTCTTTTTCTCTCTATTATTTTCTTCCTTTCTCTTTCTCTCCCTTTTATTTATTTATTTTTTCTTCCTTTTTGCTTTTTTTTTTTTGTTTTTTTTTTGTTTTTAATAATGAAAGAAGGTTAAAAAGTATTAATAGAGAGACGAGAGGCGTCGTATTCATATACTTTCACGCTGAGATATTTTGTCCTTTAGTCTCGGCGTTAAAAGTAACCGTCGACACGACTCTTCCTAAAAATATAATATTTGAATTTCTTAAGTACGAATAAAACTGTTCCTTTATTTATTTATTTATTTTTTGTTCTTCCTTTCTTTTTTCCCGACCGACATATCAATTCTTTTCGATCGATATCGACGTAATCATTCATACGTCTATATATCTTTCAATAAACGAGAGAATGCTCATAACTGTCGCTTTAAACACGTACTGCGCTAAATTTTATACTATTTAGATGTACAATATAACACTAAAGTTGTTCGAGTAACACCACATTCGAATAATTAATTACTTTATGGCACGTACGAGTAATATACATTCCGCGTGTTACGCTCGTTCACATCTCCTTTTTATTTAATTATTTATTTATTTAATCATTTTTATACTCCTTACACGATTTGTCGATTTGTTTTTGTATATCTGTTTCCTTCTCTTTCTTTTTTCTCTTTCTCTTCCTCCTTTTCCCTCTCTCTCTCTCTCATTCTTTCTCTCCTCCTCTCTTTCTTTCTCTCTTTCATTTTTCAGTCTTCTTGACAAATTGTGCAAATTGCAACGAAATTGATGAGTACTTTAATGGTTTTATAACCATTCATCGTCTTGGCGTTTCACGATTATAACTCGATATATCTGTAAATTGTTATTTGATGGCATTTAACGAGCGTATCCTTTATATCACATAATGGCGAATTATTTGAGGTGCAGAAAAATAAGAAGAAACATGCATTCTTTTTTGCATTCGAAATGTTCGAAAGTCAAGACTCGAATCAACGATATCTAATATCGAGAAGTCAAATTCTTTCATAAATTTATTTTCTCCTTTAACAATAAATAATATATATATATATATATGTATATGTATATTTATAGCAACAAGAAAGATTAGCCTTGATTTGTTTAAACTCGATTTTAATTATTTTATCGCAACGTTTTGAAAAACCGAAAGAGATATTTCGCGATAAAATACTTTCAACGATATTAATGCGAATTTTTCTTTCGAATATTTACGACGATGAAATAAAAAATTATTGTTCTTCTTAGATATTATTCGTTAACGACAGAGGCGTATGTAACGTAAACTATGCCTAGGTGTTAACGCGGAGGTCGCGACAATTCCCTTATTTCCCTCCTACCTTACTCAGCACCTCCAATATATTCATATTATTCCAATCATTTCTTATCTCTTTTCTGAATAATATTACGACTTTGCTTCTTTCCAATTTATTTCTTATCGAGCTTTCTCGATATTAATTTTCTTCAACAAATATTATTTTTCTTAGTTTTTTTGGATCTCCTCTCTTTCCCCCCTACCATAGTATTGACACATCCTAGAGCACTAGAGAACCTATTTGCTCTATATTTGATACGCCTCTGGTTTACGATTAGATTATTTTGAATTAAATTCGCTTTCCTTTTTTTCCTTTCCTTCTTTTTTTCTCTTTTTTCTTTTTCTTTTTATCTTTATTTTTAATTATTCGTTTGTAATCTATGTTTTCTGAACATCAATAGATTTATATATTTATATTTTTTGTCTTTTTCTTTCTTTCTTTCATTTTTTCTTTTTTTTTTTTTCTTTAGTATGTATCGATAAGAGAAAGAAACAACATAGGAAATCAGTCATACTTTTTAATCAAACCGATCGTCTCGTGTTTCTTTTCTTTAAATTCTCGACGTTTCGTACGACATGTCGACATACGGACGGCTGGAAAAAGAAGCTCGTTTCAAAATGATTGACTGTATACACATACACACACATACACAGACATATATATGTATATGTATATGTATATGTATATATGCATATTTTTTCGTTATATTCATTTTTATACTTCGCGTCTATGATTTACTTTTTTAAATAAATCAATCTTTTCTAAAAAATCAATTCGATATATACTTGGACAAATAATAACATTAAATATTATAATAATATTTAATTTCCTAGTTGTTTTTGTGGTATTTGAATTCTTATCGAATTAAATTTTTCGTTTCAGGATAGTATTGAAAGCAATTAAATTGTATTTGTGGTTGGATAATTTTAATAGTAAAAATGGCGTCCGGCGTCCATATTGAAGATACTATTGTCTATTTTTTATTGAATAGACGCATATTTTTTTTCGTCTATTTCTCTTTTTTTTTTTTTCTTAATTTCGATAATTATAAAAATATAAAGAAGAAAAAAAGAAAAGAAAAGAGAAATCATTCCTGTGATTAAGTATAGAAATTTTCTAGTGCTAGCTTTTTCCATTACTTTCATCGTTCGTCGTCGTCGTCGATATAGTCTTTTTGTCTCTATAAGGCGCGTCTAAAACTTTTCTAAAATCATTTTTAGAACGCGGCCGAACGTTCAACGCGTACGTAATTCGATGTGTGTCCTTTTTTTGGGTACATTGAGAAACTTTTGGGCTCGATACCAGGTTATAAGCATGCTCGCACGAAATCATGTTGTTGGTGCGTTAATGGGAGGAGGTGTATCGGTTCGCCATATTGAGCTTCCTGATTGGCTGATCGTTGTGATCTGAAAAAAGGAAAAAATAAATAAATAATAAAAGATAAATTAGGTAACATCAGTTGCGAAGTCATTTCTTCTTTAGCTAATTAATTTACTTATACATATAGTATATACGTATAGTATATATGTATATATATTAAGGATTATGTAACTAATAGGTCATTATTTATAATACCCGGCCATTATGAATAATGACTAAAACGACCGCGTTGCCAGATAAATATTGATTAATTTATTAAATTGATCAGACATTATCAACAAGGGTACATTTGGGCAATTTAATTTTTTTTCGGTATGTGTAACGATGAATAAATTTCACCATTAGATCTGCATTCTTTTAGATGGTTTTCTATAATAACTTTATTACAATGGCCTTATTAATCATTCTGTCTATAACACGGACTAATTAATTATCGCAGACTTATTGACTTCGCTATGTGCTCTCATATTTACATCAATCGCTTATCTAACTTTCGAGTTTTCACGAACATGTCTTTCTCATACTCCTTGACTTTCTTAACACCACATGGGAAAGTACGAGATTTTTTTTCCTCGTAACAATGTTGAAAATTTCCTTATAAGAGAACATCATAAAGTTGTTAACAAAAGAAAAAAAAAACAAAAAGAAAAAAAAATAAAATGTCGCAAAAGATGAACTACTCGCTGTATGAATTTACAATTCGATTCTAAACGCAATGTGCTCCTATGACGAAAATCGTGCCGAATAAATACACCATTCCTCTCTTCCCTCCTACTGATTCTAGTATTTCGCCACAAAGATATTATTATTATTATTATTATTATTATTATTATTATTATTATTATTATTATTATTATTATTATTATTATTATTATTATTATTATTATTATTATTATTGTTAATATTATTATTGTTAATATTATTATTATTTTGTTCGACCAGATGATAGCAATATCCATATTGATTCATCAATATGATGAATTATGATAAACAATGTGAAATTTATATGTAGTGCATGATTTTGTTCGCTATTATTCATAATAGCTAGGAATTATAAATAATTTCTGTACTAATAACTCAGTCTATAACATATACTTATATGCAATAAAGCAGTGTGTGTGTGTGTGTACGCATATATCTTTATATAAAATATCATGATATTAATATCATAATAAAGTATAAATACTACATATACGTAGTAGTATATGATATATGCATTACACACATACATACACACACACTCACGTACATGCATATCTATTACGTGCATTTATTTATTAATAGATTTATATATATACATATATATCTATGTATACGTCATAAAATAATTCGATGAAAAGGCAATAAAGGAAACATTCATGTAAGTATGAAAACGATTACTTTCGTGTTCCTATGTCTTCTAAAATAACGATGCAATTTTCCTCGCTTGGCAAACTTTATCTCGATCTTTCGATGGTTAAAAATACAATTTACGCCATATACATGTATACGAGAGTACCATCGGAGTTCGATAAAAGTTGGAAAAGATAAATGTACAGAACAGGGTATGTTTCTGTGTTTTCTCTCTCTTTCTTTCCCTTTCTCTGTCTTTCTTTCTCTCTTTCTATCTCAGTGTCTCTTTTTCTCTTTCTCTTTACGAAGAGAAACGTTACGAAGACGCTTCAAGATAAAACAGAATTACGACGAAAGTTACGACGTTTAAATAGAATTATGACGAATGTTACCATTACGAACGTCGAATTAATCAACGGAATGGGTATTCTCGAATGGACCAAGCCTGTGTTCTTTCCCATTTCGTTGCGGAATCGTTCAAAAAGAAAGAATCACTGGAGAGTATTTGCAAACGATTGTTCCCCCGTTCGTGACGTAAATCTTATCGTTGCACCAAACGAAAGAACGGAGAGAAAGAGAGAGAGGGAGAGAGAGAGAGAGAGAGAAAGAGAGAGAGAGAGAGAGAGAGAGAGACAGAGACGAAGAGAAAGAGAAAAAGAGAAAGTGGATAGAACTAGAAAAGGTTTATTACCTTATTGTCGTGTCCGATTAATGGAGTTTCCACCGTCGATTCGTCGCTACCTCGATTCATGTAGGCATGTGGTGGTGGGACGTAAATGGATTTCGAATGTCCTGCTATTTGGGTGTAGATAGTTGGTTCTTGTTGCATCGCTTGTCTTCGTATCACAGTTGACATTGGTAATATTTGAGGTCTCTGAAGGGTCGACATCTGTACCGACTGATAGCAATTTGGAGGTATTCGCCTATTGTTCCGTAGTGATAACTCGGCATACGTCAATTCCGAGCCCTAACACGATGAAAATTAAATCTTATTAATTGATTCTTTTAATGATCGATGATCCTAAGTTTCTTATTAAGAAATATCAGATATATATACATATATAAACATATATTTACATTGTTCGTGAATGTAGAAGCGTCAGCTCGTTTTGGTTGTATCACGTAACGCGGCGACGTACCTTTGCACATTTCCACGTAAGAACTTTCTAAAATTATAGAAAAAAGAAAAAAAAACGATAAGATTATTTTCGTTATAATTTCTTTTCCCTCTCTCGTATTTAGCCTTAAAATATAAATGTTTATAGATGTTTTACCATTCGTATGAGATATTATGTCTGGATCCTTTTCAAAACTTTCAATGCTGTCAGCACTTAGAGGTAAGACGGATGATTTGTCTCGTGGCGACGAAGTCGTTGTACCACCGGAAGCAGCGAGATTCGCCATACCACCATCGTCATGGGAATCCTTGTCCTCCTGTGGGCGAGGTCGATAACGCAATCTCACAGCGAGAACGATCACGAATATCACTAATAGAAGACCAGCTGTAGCACCTACTACTGCACCTAACAATGGACCCGACAACGACAGCATCACTGGAGTCAAAGCTGAAACAAGATATTCGTCTCTGTCTTTTTTATATTCTTTTTTTATTTTTTCTTTTTTTTATAGATATTACTTCTTTAAATCTTCGATCGAGACGATTATTAGAAGGATTATCAAAGTTCGTGAAAGGAATCGTTGGTGTTGTGATCTTTTTCTTCAATTTTATATATATATATATATATATATATATATATATATATATAAATATATATACATATATAAATATATAAATATAAATATAAATATATATATATATATATATATAAAATATATATACATATATAAATATAAATATAAATATATATATATATATATATATATATATATATATATATACATATATATACAAATACACAGGATGTCCCAGGTTTTAACAGTCAAACTTTATCAGTATATTTTATGAATCTAAATAAGAAAGGAATGTTATATAAAGATAGGTCGTTTAAAGCTTTATTAAAAAGGTTACGATAAAAATAATAATTACGTAGAAAACAGTGACGGATAGCAGGTCTGATAAAAAGTTATTACGATATAATGTAAGAATAGATCAACAATATTTACATAAATTCGCATAAACAGATTAAATGTAAATATTGCTGATCTATTCCTTTACGTTGGACTATTATCCGTTACCATTTTATACGTAATTTTTATTTTTATCGTAACTTTTTAATAAAGCTTTAAACGATATATATTTATATAACACATATATTTCTTATTTAACCTCATAGAATATAATGACAAAGTTTTACCGTTAAAACTTTGAACACCCTGTATAACTCATGCAAAAGAGATTTCGATTAATAAATTTATGCAGGACGAGTGTGGAATGACAGACAGATCGTAATAGCGAATATAACTACTACTTCAAAACGAAAGACAACGATCGGAGAAGAGCGGATTTGAAAGTTTTCTTTTGCTTTAAGGATTCTCTTTGGACTGAGATATAACGTATACACAAAAATCTACGTACAAATATACATACATAGGTATACAAAACGAACAAACGAACGAACGGACGTTACTAATCGCCGTGAGAAAATGTCGTCTATCGTGCAACAACTACGCGACGCGTTTTGCAAAGTTTGAAAATTTCTCTCAGGAGATTCACGAACAAAGTTTCCTTGTGTTGGTATTCGAGGCGTCCGATCGTGATTATGTTTCTCGCTGACATCGAGTAGACGTTGACAACAAAAGATGTTGGTGTGCGTTCGTACATCAGCTTGAAAGACATTTGCGTACGCTCGTTCGTCTATTTCAAAAGCGTTTCGTTTGGTTCGTTATTAAAAAAGTTAGTTTATTTGCGACCTAACGTATTAACTATAAAATATTTCTCTATTTCTCTCTGTTTCTCTCTCTCTCTCTCTCTCTCTCTTTTTCTCTTTCTCTCTCTTTCTCTCTTTTTCTTTCTCTCTGACAGTTTCTATTATTTTAATGGTTGGTTAGGCGATATATCTATTCTTTACTATCTTCTATTATAATCATTTTCATAACATATTTACAATTCGTCTCGAGATGCGAGTTAACGAGCTAATTATCGCAATCATTTCTCTATTCTCGTGTGCACTCTTTGTATCCAAATGTGTTCATCCGCGCGTGTGTGTGTGTCTGTGTGTGTGTGTATCTATGTATGTACGTATGTATGCGTATATGTATATCCTTGCACGTCGACAGACAAATCGTGCTTTACTTTAGAGAATCGTACTTTACTTTTTACATTCGAGCATAATTATGCTCGATGTTGAAGCGAACGGCCGTCCAATGCACGTTAAAGTCCTACAGTCGTACGATATCATTTTTTTTCCCATTATTTTTCTTTTTCCTCCTTTTTTTTTCTTTTTTCTTTCTTTTTTAGAGTCTTCCTTCACTCTTTTCATACGTTTTCTTTTTTTCCCTTTTTGAATCGATGTCACCATGTCCTTACATATTGTATTCCAGCACGTTTGCGAGATGAGATGAGACGAGACTAGATGAAACGAGAGGAGAGGCGACGAGGCGAGCGAAATTCCGAACTTGTTCGGATCGAATTCGCATAAAAACAGGAAAAGAAGGAAAAAACGCAATAAAAGGATTCCACAAACGAACGATCTCGCTACCGAGCGTTAAAACGTTCGAATTTGCTTGCCCACAGAGAAGTACGTATTTCCCGCATAACACGTTGGAATGTAAAATTTCGTTAAAAAAGAAAAAAAATAAAAAAAACGAGAGAGAGAGAGAGAGAGAGAGAGAAAGAAAGATAGAAATAGAGAGTGTGAAACAAGGAACAAATAACGATTCGTTCCATTTTTCGTTCGCACTTCCTGTTATCATGCTCGATCGTTATATGCAGTTCGTTGAACAAAAAAGATCGTTAAAAAAAATAAATTGGATGAAGGAAAAATTGATAAAACCCCGAAAAACAAAAAAAAAGGAAACAACAAATGATCACGGTATCAACGAAATTGAAACGGAGAGGATTCATCACAACAAGGGGAAACTTCGGGAGGGTTAATACGAACGTTGCTAAGATCAAAACCGTGCAAATCAATAACAATCTCTCTCGCTGTCTTACTTTCACTGTCAATCTCTCTTTCTCTCTCTCATTTCCTCTCTCTCCTCTCTCTCTCATTCTCTATAGCGTCAAACTCGTGATCCTCTATGGGACACATACATGACATGCTTATCAGACATTTACAAGGGTAATGAACAAACGTGCATTCGAAGGGGTAGTTCCCTTGCTTGTCTACTCGCTTGCAGAGGGTTCTAAACGAAACGCCCTTGACCGAGAACATATATATGGGTGTGTGTGTGTGTGTATGTATACATATATATATATATATATATATATACAGTCAGATTATTAACGCGTGTATATGTCGACAAAGTCATCCACATTTTGATTAGATCGGACGTGTGCACGAACGTGCTTAAGAGATGAAGAATAATAATAAGAATAATAAGAATAATAATAATAATAATAATAACAATAATAATAATAATAATAATAATAATAATAATAATAATAATAATAATAATAATAATAATAATAGTAATAGTAATAGTAATAATAATAGTAATATTAATAATAACAACAACAATAACGACAATTGTAATAATAATAATAATCATAATAATAATAATCATAATAATAATAATAATGATAAGAATAAGAATAAGAATAAGAATAAGAATATGAATAAGAAGAAAGAAAGAAAGAAAGAAAGAAGAATAAAAAAGATAAAAAAGAAGGTGATATCGATGGGAAGAGTAATAGTGATGTTGATGGTGATGGTGATGGTGATGGTGGTAGAGGTAGTGGTTTTGGTGTTAGTGGTATTGGTGGTGGTGGTGGTGGTGACGGTGGTACATACATATATTATAATGTCTCTATAAATATATATAAATATATACATATATAGATGTATATAAATATATGTATCATAAATCGATGAAGTCGATCCTGCTGCTCGAAATGGATGAGAAACCGTAGATTGTAGGACTTTGGGTGCCCTACCTGGGTAACGTTGATGCTCCTGCGTTTTACCCTCCTGAACAAAGTTTGGGCTGTGTAGAACGGTAGCGTCACTGGTAGCATGTGCCGTCATAACCCTCAAAGAGAGAACGAGTCCTGCATGGCTCCTTTCCATTGGTAGATTTGTCACCTCGAGCATGCTAGGCGTCAAACTAGTCGCTGAACCCAAGAGATGTCTCGTGTCGGCATCGTAGACTTGAAGAACATAGGTCGCCGTGTTCGCATCGAAGTACTCGCTCTCCGCACAGCTCACCCTCACCGTTGTTCTGCTCTCTTCTCTGATCGTGCAATTCTCCGGGGACGGTGGTCGAGCCAGCCTCTCACCTGCTACCACACCAGCACAACAAACCACACCTCAGCTCAGCTTCCTTCCTTTCTTTTTATATCTCTCTCTCTTTTTTTTCACTCACTCACTCGTTTTTTTTGATTATTAATGCATAAATATATGTATATACATATATACATATATACATACATACATATATACATACATACATACATACATACATACATACATACATACATACATACATACATACATACATACATACATACATACATACATACATACATACATACACACAAAAAAAACATCCACGCGAACGTATATCTCCGTCTCCCGCCTATCTTTCTTTTCTTTTCATTTCTTTTTTGTTCTTTTTTATCTAGTCCCTTTTTCCTCCTTTCATTTTCATTCTTACTTCATCCTATATTTTTTCAACGAAAATTTATGAAAGGCGACCCGTTAAATTACATTTCTCCTACCTTCTTTACTACCATCGCCAGACTACTATTACTACTACTATTACTACTTCTCCTACTACTACTACTATTACTATTACTGCTGCTACACTACTACTCTTACTACTAGTAGTTTTACTCTGTTACACTACTACTCGTCTTTCACGCGAGCTCCTCACCTAGATGGAGATTCACGAATTACCGGAATAAGATTAGTCATACTAACTCTTCAAGCCGGCTCGCGCGCTTTTCCCATGCGTAAATTTTCCTTCTAACGACGTTCGTTGTTCGCTACGCGAGTTATCAAAGAGGACACAGCCTGGAACGGTTCGTAAACTGATTTAAATGCAGACTTGAAGAGCTAATATTTACAATTTGCCTCTCTCTTCATCGAGAACGTACTTCGGAAGGTGGCAGGGGAGCTGCTCTCGATTAAATCGTCTTAGAAAGTATCGTTGAATTTTCGTCTCTCGAGTCATTCGTTTCGTTCACATTTGCACAGAAATATTTCACACACTTCTCACATTTCTTTTTCTTTTTTCATTTTCATTTATTGCCATTACATAGTCTACGCTTATGCATCCCAGCCCGTACGAGAATCCGAAAGTTACGCAACTATCGTCGTCCGCGGATCATCGAGCATTCTTCAAATAATACTCTTAAGATTTATGCAAACGATCGGCCGTAAGTTTCATATCGTCGATATTGTGTCTCTATCCAGAAACGATATCGACGACAAATCTATACTCGCGAATATTGCTATTACCAAAGTGATATATTCTTGAGATGTAATGTATTTAAACTTTTAAAAACTATGTGAACGGTGTAATAAAAGTACAAATCGATAATGTGTTGTAATACTTTTAAATCATGCACTTTCAGTCGAATCACGAATATCTTTTATAATCTCATGCATCTTTTGAGATTTTCATATACGTCAAATAAAAAAAAAAAGACAAAAGAGATTCTCGATAGGCTTCTACCAATCTGATTGCCTCGGTGTGCATCGAAGATTAGGAATGGATCGTAGAACGTAGATAGGATGAATCGAGAAAATAAGGATGAAAGTAAGAAAATTATTGGAAGGAATCGTTGTTGTTATAATTATTAGAGCATTAATACGTAAGGCCGTGCATTACAGCGTTATACCGAGTACTCGAAAGAAACGGAAAGAGATATGAATGATCGATATACGAGGCACTTTTTTGACGAATCAAAACTTTTTATTTTTCGAATTTCTAGACTCACCTGTTCTTCTCTCCGGCAGGTTCAAGGTTGTGGCCGAAAAGTGAACGATCTCGCTGTTACCCTTTGTGTTGCTCGCATAAATTTGTATTTCATAGGTGGTGCCAGGCTCGAGATTGGTTATAGCGAAGGAAGCAGCTTTGCTAGTTTGATTGTAGATTGTAGTTGTCGATTTAGTACCGCTTGAAGATATCTCTCGATCTATTCGAATCGTAAATTTTTGAGGAAGTCCGCCGTCGAAACCGTCGATGCATTCGATGTAAAATGAATCTGTGGTTTGATTTAGAATCGAACAATTGTGTGGCATGTCGGGACGACCTGGAAAAAAAAATTTACGATTTTTTCCTCCTCTTTGTCTTAATTATTATACAATTACATTAATTCTGATAAATAATATTTACTTCATAACATTTCTATTGATGTATGAATATCTTTGATCTTAGAGAGAGAGAGAGAGAGAGAGAGAGAGAGAGAGAGAGAGAGAGAGAGAGAGAGAGAGAGATAGAGGAAGATAAAGAAAAAGAGAGAGAATTGGAACTAAATCGATCTTCTCGTATAGTCCTCTTAAAGAGTTGAAAGAGTCGTGAAAAGAGGATAAGAATCTCAAGAGTTTGGCGAAAGCAAGTAAAGAAAAGATTCTAAGGTGTGAGATTTGGGACGTGGGAAAGAATAGGTTAAGAGAGTACAGAACTCACCAGCTGGAACGATATGATAGACGCAAGGCTCGAGTTGAGTGCCCTGATCGTTGTTACCCCAGCAAAGTAAAGTACCATAGTCCAATTCGGTCATGGGAGTATAGGAAGCTGTCGAGTGAGTACCAACGCTTGTGACGTGTGCCTGGGCTATGTCGACAGCTTCCATCGTATTATTGAATTTCCAGGTGAACGAGACTTCCGGTGGGTTAGCCTCAAGCTCGCAGGGGATCTTCGTGGTCTCTTGTCGAGCTACACCGAATACCTTCGTCTGTCCAATGTGGCAAACCGGAGCAACTGAAAGAAATAAATAGAAAATTTATCTGATATATTGTACCATTCCTATTACTTTTTTTTTTGAAAATCGAAATCTTTTTGAAAATTCGATTAAGATCACGTTTAATGAGTCATAGTTAACGAGTTGACATTGAGTACAATGAAAACGATAAATGGGACGAATAAGAGAAAGAGATAGAGAAAGAGATAGAGATAGATAGATAGATAGAGAGATATAGAGAGAAAGAGGGAGAGCGAGAGAGAGGGAGAGAGAGAGAGAGAAGTAAAATGAAACGTGTCGCACCAATGAATTTTCAAAATGGAAAACGGATGCGTGGAAAAGCGAGCTCGTTGTTGACGATAAATCGAGGAAAAGTTATGTGTATTCTCCTCTTCGCGTCGAACAACGCACAATGCATATCTCCGTAAACGTGTATGAAAACGCGTAATCCGGAACGAATGATTTAAAACCTCCCCCGGCTCTCTCTATTCACGTTTATGGGATTCTTACGTTTTGCAATTTCGACTTTATACCAGCTATTTTAACGTTCCGTCTAACATAGCTACTCATTCTCTCTTCCTTTCTGTTTCTCTCTCTCTCTCTCTCTCTCTCTCTCTCTCTCTATTTCTCTGTCTCTCTCTGTCTCTTTCTTTCTCTCTATAAAACTTTAGCGGATGTTTCATAAGGCACAGGGTAAAACGTACTACGTTTGTTACGTGTATTCATCTATGTATTTATGTATATATGCGCGCATATATATATCTATGTATGTATGAATGTATCTATGTAGGTTGGTTTTCATACTCAAACGTTAAGAGCTCGGTAAATCGTTAGGCACCGTTCTACCTTTACCGCATACGTCATTCTGTCTGTGTACATATGAATGTATGTGTATGTAGTAACATACATATATAGTAATATATATAAATAAATATATATATATATAATATATATATATATATATATATATATATATATATATGTTCATGTACTGTTTTATATCGTTAGGTGGCACTTTTCACCCGAAAGATGAACGTCCACCTGTATCTCTCGAAAACAAAGAAGAGAAGATTCCACGACGGAAATTTTCGTTCGTGCGTCATCGGGATTGTGCAAAAAAAAAGAAATAATAAAAAAAAAAAATAAAAAAAAAGGAAGAAAGAAAGCGAAATCTCGCATGAAATATTCTTCTTGTTTTTAATCCTTTTCTTTCCGTCTCTTCTTCTTTTTCCTTTTTCGTTTCATTTCGTTTTGTTTTATTTGTTTGTTTGTTTGTTTGTTTTGTATTACTTTTAACTAGGTCATCCATCTTGATATAGAAAACCAACGATATGAAAAAAGTAGTCTCGAATATTCTGTATTTTTGTTATTTTAAATTAAAAGAATAAGATTTATTCTATTGGTAAAGTGTTAAAAATTCTTTAAAACGTTTTATACAAATTTGATTTTACATATTTCGAAACATGAAACCGTTTAATACGAAGGATGGAAAGTTAGAGGTATTATTATCCAATTTCTGATCATCGTGTAAATTACGATCGTTCGACGTCTGCACGTATATATGTATATATGTATGTATGGTACTGCACAAATCAATGTGTAATGGTCTTAACGGTCATAAACTGTACCTCCCTAAACTCGTGCACCTGCGTGTGCACAGAGGAGTTGCCTTGCGCACGTATGGGAATATCAGTCTGTCTGTTTCCGTCTCATATAGATGGTCTCCCTCGTGTATCTACATCTATATACCAAGTAGAGACAGCAAAAGCTAACCGATAATTCTATACCTTCGAGTCTACACTAAGTTTGCACGTTTGATCGGGATGTCAAAGGATAAAGTTTATATGTAATGTAAACTATAAATTAAATATCAAGATATCCCAGTTCCCAATTTTCTTTAAACAAATGAAAATTTCTCCGTATAAGTATCTGTCTCTGTATTTATTTTTATGTGTGTTTGGTGAGATATGCAAAATACGTATATACACAAGAGAAAGACACATACATATATATACATATATGAAAAGAGAGAACGAGAGAGAGAGAGAGAGAGAGAGAGAGAGAGAGAGAGAAATGACAAGATTTGGAAGGACGAAAGGAATGCAAGTACAATTTGTAGGAAGGACGAAATCGCAAGCGGACGATAATATATCGCGTCGGCGCCCATAGCAGACGTTGGATTTTAGCTTTATACGTGTCTCTCGTTAAATGTTTCATTACGTGGTAAAAGCACGTGGAACGCTTTTCATGAAAAGCTCGTAGCTTGAATTCTCTCTCTCTCTCTCTCTCTCTTTCTCTCTCTCTTTCTCTCTCTCTCTCTTTCTCTTTCTCTCTCTCTTTCTCTATCTCTCTTTCTCTCTCTCTCTTTCTCTCTCACTCTTTCTCTCTCTCTCTTTCTCTCTCTCTGTATGTGTGTGTGTATCTCTCTTTCTCTCATGATTATCTCGTGCACGCTTGCCCTTCTTCGTTGGCGTTATAACGCACGTTCCAGAATTTGGTTGTATGTTGTACAACGGTAGCGGTCCCTGTTTGAATAGATTCGTCGTATATTCCTAGAACTTGTTCTCGTATATGTACGCGAAAATGCGGAAGACGAAAAGACGTTTCTACTTAATTTTACTATCTATCCAACTCTCATACGCCGACATAATCTCTTAGCCTGTTTATAGTTTCCTTTTGAAAATATGCTGCGCGTTTTATTGCTCACACTTATACCTGCTTACCTACCTATTTACCTAACTATCTACTTACTTAACTATCTACCTATGTAACGAGTAATCTTCCGAACGAGAACAAAGTTTCGGAAATATTTTTCTAAGGGGTAACTTTTTAATATCTAACGGCATTTAAACAGTCGGCTCTTCGGCGATATTAAAAATATTAATTAAATACAACAACAACAAAGTAAAATGTTCTGTTTTCTATAAATTTTCTTCAAATCATGTTAGATTTTAGATATATATATATATATATATATATATATATATATATATATACAAATTATAAAGTTATTTATCAATTATTTATTCATTATATAGGTAGATAGATATGTATTATTTCTTATTTTGTTTTGTATTTATCTCAACTCGTATTTATATTTCTTTCTGTAAATTCTTACCGTTTGTAAACCAAATACCACGATATCGAATTTTTCTACGTGTTTTTAACATACAATGCAGATACGTAATATATACGGTGTACAAAATATAAGTTATTTTTCGTGTCATATATTCGGAATCGAATAGAAACGATGAAGTACCCTATCCATTTTATTAAGGACTGTATTAGCTATCTAAACAGTTCTGATATCTCATTATCATTAATAGATAGAGTAATCAATACCGATCGAAGTGTTACATGTATAGTGATACTATCGTGAATTTACTTACATTTGATGTCTAAATTGAGAGGATTGCTCTCACCATCGCCTTCTTGATTACTACCGATGCAGGTATAGATGCCGGCTCTGCTACGTGTCACGCTCTGAAGCACCAGGCTCTGATTACTTATTATCGTGCCAGTTGCCGTGTTGTGGTACAGTGGATTGCCCTATGAATACAAAGTCTCGAATTACAAACTTTGCCACCCTTCTACGTGGACGCGATAATTACGTCGCCGAAGCGACACGAAATTGTTCGCGTTGCTCTCTATCCGTGCCATGCGTTTAATTATACCGCGAGGAAGATTTTCCCGCGAATTCCAGTCAAGAGATAATAATAATAATCATAATAATGATAATAACAATAATAATAATAATGACAACAATAACAAGAACAACGGTAATAGGAGTAATACGTGTGAACGATCATGTTTCTTTTACGTGTTCGTACGAACGAGCATTGTTTTTTCTTTAACTGTTCAATAAACAAGACCGATACAATATGTTTATGTATGTATTTGTTTATCGATCGTTATTACGACTAAATAACTGTTAATTAATATCTCAAAGAAATCCTTTTATTAATCCGTTTTGTAAATAACGATAACCGTTTCCAAGCCTCTAAAATGATCCGTATTATCGAGTTTAACGTTGAAACGTTTTCACTCATACAATTTTATCTGTTCGTTGTCATTTATTTTCCGAAACGGTTTATTGACACTCGCAAATGAAATGTTAACAACCGAAGCTCGTTTATTAAGCCGAGTAAATTGCCGTTTGTATTTTAAAGGAAAATTTTTCATCCTGTCTTTACTCTTTGTGTACGATGAAAATTTATTACTTCGTCGTAAGTCTTTAGTGGCACGTACATATGTAGTAGATAGATATAGTATATAGGTGATATATGTAACTCGAGTTAGGGTAAACTCACGTTATGCCGCCAGGAAACCTTGTAAACCCAAGGATTCGACTTGATGTTGCATTCGAAGTAAACGTCGATTCCTTCTCGGATTGCGCTTGAGTTCAGATTGCTCCCCAATTCTAGGGTAACCACGGGTTCGTCTGAAAGTGCAATTAATATTAAAGTTCGTGCCAGGAGGCGTAACAACGAGTAACACGTGCCCATGGAAAATCGAAATTGGAACCAGAGGATTTCGTATTTATGTACTTTCAAATCGTATTTATAAACTTACGAATTAATAGCTATGCTATCAAATTTTCTCTATTGATCGTAATTTAATGCAAATACGAAAATTAAATTAATTGTTATATGACAATATATTTGTAAGAGAAAAACTTTTAAATATATAATTTTTTACGAGCATTTCGTATTTATGTACTTTCATATCATATTTATGTATTTGCTTCAAATTTTTTCTATTGTTTGTAATTGTACACTAATACGAAGATCAAGCAAAGTTGTATGCGATTATATATTTGTATATAATATAGAAAATATATTATATGTACAATTTTTCATGAAGATTTCGTATTTACGTATTCTTCAGAGTATATTTATGTACTTACAAATTAATAAACTATGCTTTAAAATTTTCTCTATCGTATGTAATTATATACAAATATGAATATGAAGCTAATTTTTATATGATAATATATTCGTCGATAAATATTTTTTTATCATACATAATCTTTCATGAGAATTTCATATTTATGTACTTTCAAATCGTATTTATGTACTTGGAAATTAATAAACATGGTTCGAAATTTTTTAAATTCATTGTAATTATGTGCAAATACGAAGATCAAGCTAATTTTTATATTTATAAGAAAATATGTTGCATATAGAATTTTTCACAAGGATTTCATATTTATATACTTCCAGAATTTATAATTTTAGATATATCTTCACTTTTCAATTTTCTATATTGATCCTACATATATTCTAATTCGAAAATCAATCTAATTTTTAATAATATATTTGTGAGAAAAAATATCACACAAAATTTTATAGGAAGATTTAGTATTTATGTACTTTCAGATCTCATAAGTTTACAGCAAATGATTCTCAATTTTCTAAATTGATCCTCAATATACGCGAATATGAAGATCAACTTAACTTTTAATAGTATATTCGTAAAAAAAAATATTATATAAAATTTTTCAAGAGTATATCGTTTTTATACACTTTCAGAATTCGCAAGTTTACGGCTTTGCTTTTCAATTTACTAAATTGATCCTAAATGTATTCAAATATGAAGATCAATTTAACTTATAATAATATATTCGTAAGAAAAAAATATCATACAAAACTTTTCATGAATATTTCTTATTTAAATATTTTCAGTATTCACGAAAAATTAATAGTTTTGTTTCAAAAGCGAACTTAAATCAATATTAACACAAAAATTTATCGAAATTTTTAATTTGTATGAAATAAATGTGACAGTAAAATTTTGAACAAATTTTAAATTCGTTGAATTTTTGACAAAAAGAATTAGTTCTCATATGTGCTATCATTGTTATTTCTTTGATGACAAAATGCACTCAGCCGAGAACACGACAAAAACGAACGCATGCGTATCGAAAAATACATACTCCGAGATTCGGTATTAAAAGGAGTTTCAACGTTTGGCCATTTTCGTTGGCGTTGGAGAATAAATAAACGATAAATAAGCGGATTACCTTTGTTTGCGTGGAGACTATTCACGGCTTAACGAGAATATACCGATTCTGAATTCACCGGGACAAGTAAAATAATTTGACTCGAGCGTGAAAAATGATTTTCTTGCGAATCTTTGCAATTTTTCTTTTTTTTTTCTTCGTTCTTTATCTTTTTCTTTTTTCCTGTTTCACACACACACACACACACACACACACACACATACATTTCGTTTAAGGATAAAATGGTAGAATGTAGTTAGAATTGATTGTCGAAATGGTCTTCGATTTGAGCACGTAAACGAACGAACGAACGAACGACGATATTATTAATAGGCATCGTTCCGCATCGTTCTACGAAGATCAATGCCCGTTATTTCGCGAATCCAATATAAAAGTTCCCCGTTGATGGTAGAGTTTACACCGGAAATCGGTGCGGTTTCGCGGAAATTAATGGTATAACCCGATCTACGAGCAAAGATTCTCTCTCTTTCTCTCTCTCTCTCTCGTTCTCTTTTTCTTTTTCATCGATTCTTCTATATCCCTCTATTTCCGTCCTTTCAGATCTGACAATTTCTTTTTATCTCTCGTTTTCTTGTTAACCTTGATCATATTTTTTTCTTCTTTTATTTGTGCCATTTTCTTTTCTTTATCACTGCCGTCGAAGTTCTACAGAGAGACTTGTTTACAGGTGCATCATCTTAGATCCTTTTTGTTGTTCCTTTTTATTATTTTTTCCTTTTTCTTTATTTCTTTTTTATTGTTACCAACGTTAGCGGATAATATTGCTAAAGAAAGAAAAGGAAGAAGAAAGAAAACGAAAAAAGAAGAAGAAAGAAAATCCTGTAATGGAATGACGGTAAGGAAGCAAAAAAGAAAAAGAAAAAGAAAAAGAAAAAGAAAAAGAAGAAGAAGAAGAAGAAGATAGTACCAGTCCATTGTTCGACTAGTAGAAAATCGTGCAACTCAGTGAGGCAGTGGATCCAGCGAATAATTCAATAACGCAAGACGTATGCTCTAATTTAATAGATATTTAAAATACATTCGAAGTTACGAAAGAATTAACGATAACGAAACGATGCACCACCGTTCGATATACATATATTATAATTTATCTCGAATTCGATAGGTAAGATAAGCTTGGAAGATTTCGATGTCTCGATGGGTGCGAAATCGTGCATGAAATTGTCCTTTCGCGAAGCAACTTTACGAGATATCCGATAACGATCTACGTCTTAAATTTATATACGTACATACGTTTTCTCTTTTTTCGTTTTCTTTTTTCTGTTTTTTTTTCTTTTTTTTCTTTTTTTTACATGACACACGACTACTATAAATGCCGCAGTATCTACGTTTTCGTACTAACGTCTTTTCCTACACTTTCTTTTATTTTTTTTCTTTTTTCTTTTTTTCTTTTTTTCTTTTTTTTTTTTCTTCATGATTTTTCTGCATTCACGACGTTCCACGAGATTCTCACAACGATCTTTATCGAAAGACACCGACATACCGTCTTTCAAATTAACTCATGCCGATCTCTCTTACTTATCCGTTAGAGTATTCGCGAGCCGCCGTATCGAAAGGTTTAATTAGCGTTTCACAGTAAACGTCTCGTTCTCTTCTTTCTTGTCTCTCTATCCTTCTTCTTCTTCTTCTTCTTCTTCTTCGTTTTTTCCTTTCTTTTTTCTCTACCGCTCCTCTCCCCCCAATTACGAACGTGCATCGTCCGAGATCCTTATCCCGCTCGTTGCTCGTCGAAAAAAATAAAAGATCATTCCGATCTCGAACGTTCCTTACGTTAACATCCGAGATTTAATCTGACACTCGTCGATTTCATGAACGAGTGAACGAAGAACGCGTGTAATATCGAGAAACGCTTACGATATATGTCGAGCTTCCATCCGTCTTCCATTTCTGGATCCGTGATATCCGGTACGCTGGCCTTGCAGGAGAGAAATTTTCCGGCGTCTTCGATGCTCGGCACGAACGTTAGCATGCTCGTCGTCGTATTGCCGTCGGGACTCACCTGTGGAAAGATATATTTCATGGTGAAACCGTTTGTCGGGGGATTTCCTCGCGTTTCTCCAATAGAATCTTGGCCAAAAAGAAAGAAAGAAAGAAAGAAAGAAAGAAAGAAAGAAAGAAAGAAAGAAAGAAAGAAGAAGAAGAAAAGAGAGCTTTTATATTTAATAGAACTTCATTTTATTCTCTGACAAGGTTTCTCCGATCGATCGAAAAGTATCTCTATCGTGAACGTCGCTCACGTATCAAGATTTTGATCAAAAGGGAGATATTATCGTGTTCGAAAACTTGTCAGCCCTTTAAAGATGTTACATTGTGGATAGGTATTTAATTATACGAGATACAATCGATCGAAAGATAAAAAGAAAATTTTTCTCGGATTAAGTTATTTACTTATAATTCGTATAAATCTTTCGAATTAAAAGATCACATTCGATCGCTTACCGTTTGTCTTGTAGTCCTAAGCGCTATGCTCCCTTTGGACCAGGTGATTTTCGGCGGTGGCCTGGCCCCGACAACCTCGCATCCTATCTCGTACGTGGTACCGGCACTAAATGGACGGTTTTCTCCTTGCATACGAACCAACAGTGGCTTCACTAAAACACGTATGTCCTGAGCATGAGGTTACCACGGAAGAACGTTTCGTTCTAAATTATGCAAGGGCGTATATATTTCTACGAGCCAAGATACTCAAGGCAAGTAACGCTCATTAACGTTACCGCTTGCGATACAATTAATTTACCGACTTGATTCGTTGCATTAATTCCTTTTGAAAGTGTCGTCCACTGTTATCTGCCCTTTTAGCATCATGTACTCGTGTATTATACACTTCGTCGGAAAGATATTATTACATAAATTGCATCAATTTAATGAATATGAGAAAAAGAACGAAAAGAAAAAACAATTAAAATAAAATAAAAGAAAAAAAGAAATAAAGAAAAAAATAAAAGAAAAAAAGAAAGTAAAAAAAGATGGAAGAAAATACAGAGCATGTGTTATATAAAACAACGGGATAAAAAAAGAGAGAAAAGGAAAAGAAAAGAAAAAAAAAAGATAAAAGAGAAAAACGAACGAACAAATAAACAAACAAAAAGAAGTAACTCACGATTCATGTTGAGAGTAACCGAGCTGGATATCGGTGCGACCATGTTGTTGTTCGATGCTTGACAGGTCAAAATCGTATGCAAATGTTTACGACTAAGTTTTTCCAGTCTTAGAACATTTCGTACTCTTTTAGTACCTACACTCTCGTAAGTGTCGTCCAAGAGGGCATTCTCCTGCCACCACGTCACTCGTGGCGGTGGTCGACCTGGAAAATCGCAATAGGCGACAAAGTCGTTCGTACAAAACACGACTATTACTCCGGTAGCAAAGAGAATGAGAATGCGTCCGCCCTTGCGGTTTTCCTACCGTCCATTGTCCTTTCCAACGTACACGCCCTTTTAATCCACACTCTCCCTCCCATACCCCCCATCCCTTTTGTGGACGATATCAAAGATTCTCCTTTTCTCTTTCTCTTCACGCTTCACGATACGTTTCACTCATCAAATTCCTTTCGCGTATGTTAACATTTCTCGAATCAAAGGGACATTCGATATCACCGAAAGAAAAATCACTACAACGTTAAAGAGAAACGAAGTGCAAAGGATTCTTCGTCAAAGAAATAATAAACGATCAGCCGGATAATTCTCGAGACTCTTTTACGAAAGACGATTAAGTCGCAATCTTCTCGACATTTTCTCCCATTCTATTTTTCTATCTCTCTTTCTCTCTCTCCATCTTCTCTCTTTTTTTCTTTTTTTTTTTTTGCTTTTTCTTCGAATTCTTCTGATCTGGTTGTCGAGAGAGACGTGCTGAAGAAAAGGTAATAATCTTCTTAAGCAGATGATACTAGCTTCTTGCTAATCACGAAAATACTGTACTGTCTGAGAAATGTTCGAAACGATGATACGATAAATTTTATCCGCCTCTCTTGTAACATCATCCCATTCCACCCCTCTCCCCCACCATCTTGCCATATCCACCGTTCAAAGTTTCGCATTAAATACGCGAACACGCTTTTTATGTTATTCATATTTAATATTTAATTTTTCCTT